GTGATAAAAATAATAACAGAGAAAACAAAATAAAACAAAAGCAAAAAGCTAGCCTACAGTAATAGAAATTTGAATTTTAATAGATAAGGGACTCATGAGACAAGAATAAATGCATTCTAAAAGGTGTCTAGGGTTATTTATAAAAACAGGATAAGCTCATTATATTTCCATACAAAGAAAAACCTTCTAGGATTCTTAGAGCCTTGTGTTTATTTGGATAGAACTACATGTACTTTTAAAAAAAATCCTCACCAAATATATGTTTACTGATTTGAGAGAGAAAGGAGGAGAGAGAAAGAGGGAGAGGGAGAGGTGGGGGGGAAGAGAGAGAGAGAGGGACAGAGAGAGAGATATCCAAGGGTTGCCTCCTGTGTGCGCCCCAACTGGGAAATGAAGCCACAACCTTTTGTTGTATGAGGTGACACTCCAACCAACTGAACCACCCGGCTGGGGCTACTTGTGCTTTTTAAAGCTTGTTTTGTAAAATCTCTTGAGATATTTCAAAGTGCTGTACTACCTAGACACATTTATAAGTAGAATAACATTTTGTCTTTAAAGTGACAGAAGGTTAAACTAAATGTAGAAGCCTTACAATATTTTCAGAAACGAGCTCTGGCCGCAGAATTTGGGCACCTGAATTGTACTTCTGGCTCTGTTATTATCTGGTTGTGTGATCTTGGGAGAGTCACAGAATTCTCTCGAAGCCTGGGTTTCTTGTCAGCTGAATGAGGAGGTTGGAACAGATTTTTCCATCCTTAACATTCCTTGTTTCTTTTGGACCCTTATGACTTTACGGTTGCTGTAGTCCTGATAACTAGCAACCTTAACAGTTGAGGTTAAAATGGAATGCTCTATCCTTATGGTTGTTGAAGGTAAACTTGTCATCGCAGGAAAAGAAAAAGGTAACAATGGAATGATAATGACTAATCTGTCATCCAAACCCAATGTAATTAATGATCCATGTATTATAGTGGCATGAACTCTGTGGGAAATAATGAGTTTTATAACATGAGTACTCTGTCAACTAGGACCTAAGGAGTCAAGTTTCTGCCATTACTTCTAGTGTGAGAATTGTTAGTCTTCTTGTTCTTGTAATGAAGTGGTGGCCAAGCCATAGGGTTTTGTATGCTCAGTTAAAGACGTCTCACCTACACTCTTAGTGGTCGTACGAGGGAATGTTTTGGATAGATGATTCCCAAACACTAAATTATTACGAGAAGTACGTGTGAGCTGCCAGACAGTCTGCCCAGAAAGTCTGTCTTCCTTGAGCATTGCCAGTCTTTTGTTTTGAAACTCTTGTAGATTGTATGGTGTTATCGAGTTATTTCTACAGGAAATCATTGAAATTGATCTTCTATGGCGGGGAAATGACAATTTGGGTCCTCAGCTATGCTTACTGCTGACTTTGCTTTAGATGATTTATATTAAACAATCCATACGATCAAGTAATTAGATGTAGAAAAAAGGCATTTGACAAAATTAAGCAACCATTCTTGATACACACTCATAGAAAACAAAGAATTGAAGACACATTTTTCAAAATGATAAAGGGCCGACATTATGTGGAATGGTGAAAGACCAAAGGCTTTCCTCCTACGATCAGAAACACAGCACCAGTGCCTGGTCTCTTCATTTATTTCAACATTGTACTGGAGGTTCTCATCCGTGCAACACAGCAAGACAAAGAAACAGAGTACATTCAGTGTGGGAAGGAAGTAAATTTATCTTTATTAAAGGATGGCGTATCATGTGCATAGAATATCCTAAATGATTGGAAAAAAGCACAGACAGAGGATACAAGGTCAATATACAAAAAAATTTGTCTTTTTATATACTAGCCTTAATCTGTTTGTAAATTAAAAACAAAAAATCATTTGCAATAGCACCCCCACACATGGCGTAATTAGGGAAAAATTTAACAAAGTATGTAAAAGACCTGTACATTGAAGTCCATAAAATATTGTTAAAATAATTGAAAGATATAAATAAATGGAGATTTATGCCATATTCCTGACTCAATATTGTTAAGATGTTCCTTTTCCCCAAATTGATAGACTCAGAGTAAACTACCCAAAGTAGACTCAGTGCAGTCTTGTCTACTATGACAGCGAGTTTATTTTTATAATTTAACAAGCTGATTATAAAATTTACATGACAATGCAAAAGACTCAAAGTAGCCAAAACAATTCTGAACAAGAAGAAAGTTGTAGAACTTACCTTATCTGATTTTAAGGATTTCTATAATTCTACAATAATCCATGCCATCTATTATTGGCATATGGTGAAATATACAGATCAGTGGAACAAAATAGGTAGTTGAGAAATAGACCACAAATATATGGCCAATACATTTTGAACAAAGGTGCCAAAGCAATTTAATAAGAAAGAAAAGTATTTTCAATAAACGTTGCTGGAATAACTGAATATCTATATTCCAGAATATTTAACTTAGTTCTTAATACACACTATGAACAAAATTAACTTGAAATGAATTAAAGAAATAAATGTAAGAGCTAAAATTCTAGGACTTCTAGAAGAGAACATAAAACTTTCTGACCTTGGGGTAGGTTATTTCTTAAACAGTGTACAAAGACACAAACCATACAAAATTATCAAATAGAAGTTCATCAAAACTGAAAATTTCTGTAATGGCCAAATAGCATGTTAGCTTTTATAAGCCATGTGGTCTCCACTGCAACTGCTCAGCTCTGCTGTTTTAATGCAATAGAAGCCATGGATGATATCGAATGAATGGGGGTGGTCATATTCCAATAAACCTCTATTTACAAGACAGGCATATGCAGGGTTTGACTCATGGGCTGTAGCAGGCAGACGGTTGCTGTAGATTGACACAAACTCTAATCTGATCCTCAGCAAGATGAATGATTTCCCCCAAATGGTAAAGTGACTTAGTGGAAGAAGCAAGACCAAATCCCATTTTCCCCCAGTTTACCATGTAATCTCTTTTTATAAATAAATTTGAAGGTAAGATTTTCTTCAGTGCATAACTATGCAATTACGCAAGTGCAGATACTCAAGAATTGACTCAGAGTTGCTCTTTTCTCATGTTTAATACTTTGATTAATGCCTTTCTCCGGATGGAAGAAGGGAAAAATTAAAAGTAAGTAATTTTATATTCCTTTTCCCTTTGTATTATTTGAGAGCTTATCTTCATTGCTACATCATTCACAAGAAGATACGAAAAGTGACTTTACATTCATGTGACATTTTATTTCAGTATGTCAACAAACAGAACCATGGCAGTTATTCATTAATGTTTTGACATGATTATTGCTGAGAAAAATCACCCATCTAAGTTATTACATGAAAAGAAACATGGCAGGCATGCATCACAGCATCTTTTTTCACCAAATGAATTATTTCAAAGAGAAAAGAGAAAAATAGAATAAATATGCTTGTGCTTTGTGTCACTTTGAAAAAACCCTGCCACGTTGAAATGAAGCAAAAACACAGGAGTGAGCACTATACTGTCCATTGAGGAAGGAAAAATTCTATTTACTGAGAATAGAATATAGCAGATACTAAGTAAGGTATTTTACTAATGTTTTCTCATTTTATCTGATCAGCAATCACCTGCAGATGAGTCTAACTATCCTCATTATGTAGGCAAATAAACTTGTGTTCCAGGAATTTGAGTAACTTTATAGAGGTTGATACAGTTGGGAAAGGTGTGCACCTATCAACTCTAACCCAGGTCTGTTAGACCCTAAAGTTGTACTTTGAGATTTGTGAATCCGGGATAGAAAATAAAAACAACTGGGAAAGTCTTAGATACAAGTAGTCAATACCTTTTCTTTCATGTTATCAGGAATTGTGAAGAAACTATGCTCTTTTCTCTTATGTCGGTATGAAGGAGAGAGGAGAAAAAGCATAGTAGTCCTCTTCATCTGTGGGGGATACATCCCAAGACCCCCCAGTGTATGCCTGAGACCGAATTGCCAGCATCACTACTCTTGCACTTTGGGGCCATTGTTGAGTAAAATGAGGGTAACTTGAACAACAAGCACTGCGAGCTGAGACATTTGATCTGATAACCGAGGTGGCTACCAAGCGACTAACAGGTGGGGAGAGTGTGAGAGCATGGAGAGTCTGGACGAAGGGATGATTTACAGTCCTGGTGGGACAAGCAGGATGGCGTGGGATTTCATTATGCCACTCGGAACAATGCACAATTTAAAACTCTTTATGAACTGATAATTTCTGGAAGTTTTTCTATAATGTTCATAGATCATGGCTGACTGTGGATGACTGAAACTGTGGAAAACAAAACTGAGGATAAGGGGGGAGACTACTGTACAATCATGAGTTGCTTATGATAGGGACACATTCTGAGAAACATGTTACTAGGCGATTTTGTCATGGTATCATCGTAGGATACATGTACACAAGCATACATGATATAGCCTACCATACATCTGGGCTACATGGTCTAGCCTATTGCTCCTAGGATGTAAACCTGTACAGCATGGTACTGTACTAACTACTGTAGGCAACTGTAATACAATGGTAACTGTTTGTGTTTCTGAATGTATTTAAACATAGAAAAGGTGCAGTGAAACATGGTATAAAAGTACTGGCCAGTGTGGCTCAGTTGGTTGGAGTGTCATGCCATACACAGAAAGTTTGTGGGTTCAATTCCCAGCCAGGGCATATACCTAGGTTTTGGGTTCAGTCCCTGGTTGGAATGTGTATGTAAGGCAACTGATCTATGCTTTTCTCTCTCTCTTTCTCCCTTCCTCTCTCTCTGGAATCAAAATAAATGAATAAAATCAGGAACTTAAAAATATGGTGTAAAGGTAAAAGTGGTACACCTCCATAGGGCCCTTACCAGGAATGCAGCTTGCAGGACTGGAGGTTGCTCCAGGTGAGTTGATGGGTAGTGGAAGGGAAGGTCTGGAACATTACAGTACTCTACTGTAGGCTTTATAAACAACATTCTCTGTGCTCTTATGACAGGCCCAGAAATGCATCATTGAAGCTGTCGGTGCTGCTCCAAGAACAGGGATGTGGGCTGGATTGATTGGAAGTATGAGGAGAAACTCATGGGTAAGGCACAGATCACCATAAAAATGAGTGTCAGAAGGAAGTGATCAGTTGCCTGAGGATCACAGGAAAAAGAAACCAAGATGGTCAGAGAAAGGAACATAGCTGATGGTCATGGCAGTGTGGCTTTCAATATTTTATGTTGAAGCAGTGGTCAGATTAAGGAATTTTGTCCTAATTATAAACCAAAACAGGTTTAACGTGGAGAGGGTATAGAACAGAGGACTCAATATTCTGACTTTGGAAATTTGTTTTTAGTTTCATCGAACCTCTCTGACACACAGGGCCCTCCCTCTCTGGCATTGGAATTGATGAAAGAAATAAAACTTCTCTATGCTTTATCATTACAAACTGAAAATATGTCCAAAGTATGGGGACAAGCTGGCTCCACCCTGCCACAGAGAGCTCTTCCTCAAGTGGCGGTGGCACTCAACACTTGTTAAGGCAGCTCCCGTGGACCTATGTCCTTGCACAGGGTCTTAGGGCCTCAATGAAGAATGCACTCTGAAGGTCATCAGGTTAGATCTGGGAGGGCTCTGGTGCCCTCTGAGTATGTGGTGCTGAGTGGGCGGACTCCTCTGTGCTGAGACAGGTCAGCGGCTGACTGACTGGGATGTAATCTGTACCCTCAAAATTGAGGTGCTCTGAGGGAGAGGGAGTCTGTTGCCAAGCCACATCAGAGAAAAAGATTCCTCCTTAATGACTTATCTCACTGTTTCTTACAGGAAGCTCATCCTCACTAATTTTATGGGACCACCATTGTATCTGTGGCACATTGTTAATGAAATTGTTGTTACGTGGTGTGTGATTGTAGTTACAACACTGAGTTTAATTTAATTCTAAGATATATGTGAGCTGAACCGTTCTTTGTTTGGATAAAATATAGATACAATAATTAGGACCCTGCAAAAGTAGGGAGGTAGTTTGAAGTAACCTTTCCTCCCAATTATTTTTTACTATTTTGAACTATAGTGGGTATAGCCTCATAGCTTTGGCAATAGTTAAATTGTTCCACTGGAGGCCTATCCATTTCTAAAGATTTTGGTAGTTTTTATTATTAAGTTAGAAAAGCCCCTAAAATCTGTGCTGGGGCCGAGAGAATGGAATTATGTGATTATTTGTATTAGGCTGACCCTAGCTATGCTGACCCTGACTTAAGTACCCACTGATGTCTTCTGCAAAATCTCAGAGAAAGCAGTTTCTGTTTTAGATCTCAACATCTCTTTGGGACTCTTGTAAGATGGCATAACTCACAAAATTTTTAAAAAAGCAAATACTTTTCCATTTTGTAAGAACAGTTTGTAGCTTGTAAATAAAAATGGCCTAGAAATGAAAATTTTAATTAGGCAGTTGCAGGAAGTTGGACAGTAAGGCTTTCTGCTGCAAAGTTTAGGGCAAGGAGAAGATGGAATCGGTCATTCCTTCAGCCCAGCAATGGGTTTTCCCAGAAGAGAGAATGCAAAGCCGTCAAATGAGTGACAGTTTCTGAAGTCTGTGTAACCGACTCTCCCTGAGTCTTGACAGATGGAGCATTGCAGCGGCCACATGGCACGGGAATTCCCACATTTCCACTCTAATTTCATTTTCTTTTTAAAAACTTTGGCAGCTGGAGTTGCCGCAGCTGCTGCCCTGGGGGAACAGGAGTGCTGAAACAGGGCAGACAGTGCGACGGGCTCTTTCCCCTGTGAAGAGGGGCTGAGCGTGGCCCTGGAGAGCCCGAGGGGGGACGGGAGGAGAAGACCCTGTGCTGCCTTCTACAAGGGGCTGCGGCTTCTCAGTTTATCTCTTCAAGGAAGCAGCCTGGTACAGAGAGAAAGACACCTCTGTATCTGAGTTCTAGTTTTACTAGTGGCAGCTGTGTGACTTTGGGCCACTTTTCAACTTCTTCAAGCCTGTTTCTTCATCTGCCAACACCCTAACGTTTGAAGTTGTTGTGAAGATTAGGTTCATATATGTAGAATATCTAGTGCAGTGCTCAGCATAGATTAGGCTTCCATAAGGCCCTAACCATTGAATCCAATGAAATTCTTGTCCTTTTTTACCCCAGAAATTTGGTTTCCCAACGTTTAACCAAGAGGCACATGCATGGTGCTAGCCCAGTGCCGGGAATTAGAAGAAACGAAAGTGAATAAACCTCATCTCGGCTCTCAGTTGGCACATAGTCTAGTGGGGGAGAGAGAGAAATAATACAACTTCCGATGAAGTAAAATACGTAACAGAATGAGGAGAGCCCTTCAGTATTTGCAATGACTGGAGTCAATATGCAAACAATTTAAACTTAAGCTTCAGAGGAACAATGACTGCTCCTGCGGACTAGGCAGGCAGGGAGTGTTGTCTCCTTCCTCATTTCAACACCTCTCGTAGTTTTAGTTCTCCTGGAGGGCTTTCAGCTGCCGTGGCCACTGCACCCTTAAATCCCAAATGCTGAGAAGCAGCAACTAAGCCCAACGCGTTGTTTCATTTTTCATCGTGCCCAATACAATGCTTCTATCTAGTTAAACTGAGGATGCATAATTAACAAATTCATGAATACTGATCTATTAAACTTTCTCGGACAAGAATCATTATTTTTAATAAGAAAATCTCTATTCAGTAGGGTGAGTACCATGAACCCAAGGGCCAGATGAAACTTTCTTAAATCCTGCAAGTTCTTGGACATGTTAAATTAAAACACAGGGCTCTAGGCTTGGTCAATTCTTCTCTGTTTTGAGTTGAAAATACAAGGCATATGAATTTGATTTATCATTTGATTAGAGGAGTTATATAGGACATTAATAATTTCTAAATTTAATTTCACTTGGAGACCATTAAGATGTCATGATTCAGAAGGCACATGAGTGAGTATCTATGCCTTTTATCAAGACACTTGAGCATCCAGACCCTCAAATAATGAGGAGCTAGCATGCATATTTTGTCACTATAGGCAGTGCCAGTGAAAATAAGTAGGTCTCACCTAATGTGAATTCTCTGCAGTGTTAGTGTATCAGAGGCAAATTCAGTCACGCTTGTGACTTAATGGAGATTTTAAAGCTGAGTGTATTCATAGCCTTGTCCAATTGGGAGTGTTGGAGTATAAGCAAGTACATATGTATATAAAAGAGGCTCTTACAGCTAATTTGGCTATGCTCATTTTGCAGCAGCAACACTTCTGTGTACGAGGGGCTCGAGGGTGGCAGGGAGTTTGGAAGGGGACTGTGGTGGCTGGGAGACTCACCTCGAAGTGGCACTTGTACAGCTAGAACAAGTGTTCTTACTTATGTTGTGTGTTTATGGACACTGCTGTGGACAGTGTATGATAAAGCTCGTTGGGCTGCCTCCCCTTGCACAGTGCTATTCAGGGAACGTGCAGTTGGGGGGCGGTGCTTTGTCTTAAGTGATAGCAGATGACCGACTGTATTTAGTGAATTCTTGCCCACGTGATATATCACTGCCTGTCTGTATCTGCGTGTTCACACAAAGCCGTGGTGTTCGGAGACAGATGCAGGGCTGAACTTCAGCTCTTTGACTTATAAATTTATTAACATTTTGTCAGTGAAACAAAATACTTACTGGGCACCAATCACTAGGCATCAAGGGGCGGGGAATGACATGGTACCAACTCCATCACACTCATGCTTCCAGACGAACAAAATTGTGTGAAGATCTGCTCATGGATGATGAGATAAGTAATAGTGATGGTCTTACAGGGTTCTTCTGAAGATGAAAAAAGACAGTTTTCAAAATAACATGTACGGAGCCCATCCTGTAGTGGATGCTCAGTGGACGTTCATTGTCAGGCCCAGCACTGTGGCAGGAATTCAAAGAGGGGAAGACTTGTGTGCACTGGAAGAGTCAAGGGAGGTTTAAAGGGGAGATAAGGCTTGATCAGGCACTGAGGATAAATCCTGATGCTTGGAGTGGAGAGAACCAGCACAAAGAACGGCCAGATGCTGGGGGAGGGCGTGTCTGTAGGACAACGAGGAGCCGCTGCGGGTGAGGAGTGGGAGGTGTGTTGGAGCAGCTGGTAGGCCAGGCTGCATTTTGGAGGTCCCTGAGAGCTGCTCAGAGGAATGCAGACTTGTTAAAAAACTATGATGGTTTTCAGACCAAAGCGCTGGCATGATGGGTGTAGCCTTGTAAAAACTGGTTCAATGGCAATGAACACAGCAGAGTTGTTCCAGAGAGACACTGGAGCCAGGGAGGCGGCATCAGATGCCAAAAGACAGGACTGAGGCTCTGGAACTTAAAGAGCTCTTTAGAACGTCAAGTTTGATATATTTCTTAACCTAATCTTCATTTTGGACCATAAATCCAGCACTAATAAAGAGAACTGAACATTTTTTTTTTTTTTGCTCGCTCTGGGTGTTATATGGAATCCCAGCAAATGGAATTTAATTTTTACCTAACTTGCTGTCTAATACCTTTTGAGACTCCCAAATCATATTTCTGCTCTTTTCCACTTGATCTGACACGGTGGCAACAATATTTTTTAAAAGCTGTTTCAGTCACTGAGGGAGAAGTATAATTGACCTGGTGTTCAAATGTTCTCTAGTTTGAAAGATTGGAAAAGACAAAGGTCTCCAGAATGTCCTTCCTGATAAACATGAAGAGAGTCTTCATCATGTAAATGTTCACTCCTCTGTCAGGGTGTAAGACTCTATGATTATCAAAACAGACTGGATTATAAATTTTGAGTGTTCCCTTGAACTTTACTGACTCACAGAATTTGTAAGCTTGTGGCTTTGATTTTTTTTTTTTCTGGTTAAAAGTTAAGCTTCTACTGCCAATCTCAGAGCCAGACCGGCTCACAGAGAAGTGTCTGATGCTCAGGATACTTAAGGTTAGGGAACCAGAAGTCCAGTTATAAATACCCGTTAGACCTGGCTGGAGCCTTGCTCGGCCCTTCAGCTTCACCGCTGTTAGTCTGATGGCGGTTTCCTTGATCTGGTTCTGTGAACAGGTTTGGACACCATGGGGCTATCATGGCACCTACCAAAAAGGAAAGCAGGTGAATATTAAAAGGTTTTTTGTTTGTTTGTTTGTTTCAATAGAGAAATAGTGAGCATGGAAAGCTCCCACTGGGAATGATCCATGAAAGAAATGCTGGGGTGTGAATGTCGACATGGCAGACCGGGTTCACAGCGTGTTTGTGAAGTGAAAACGCCTGTGCGTGGGACTTGGACCGGGTGCTTGACTTGTTTTCAGACGTTCCTCCCTCTTTCAGCATTCTCTTCACCCCCAACTGGTGAGTACCTTTCCTGGCAGATCTTCGCTGGGTTCAGTACAGGCTAACTGTCACTGATAAGCAGGATAATCCTAAAAACAACACAGGACTCCTGAACCATAGCTCCCTGTATGCATCAAGGCCGCCTACCTTTTAATGACCCAGAGTTAACCCTTTTAATGAGCCTTTTACTAAACCTTTTTACCTGTTAATTTTTTCTATTGTAAAATAATATATTTGTTAGTAAAAAATCTAGAAAATATGAAGATGAAATAGAAAATAAATCTCACCATAATTCTGACATCCAGATATAGCTGTTGCTGTATTGAGCTATGTTCAACATGTTACATATATAAGCTCTATGTTTTGCCCTTTCACTGAAGTTTTTATTGTGAGCATTGTTGCATATCATTCCGTTTTCTTTAAAAGCATGATCTTAGTGGCTTCAGAGTATTTTGTTGAAATACCATTAATTTATATAACTATCACTAGAATTTAGTTGTTTAATCTTAGAGTCAGGACTGCTTTGCTGTGCCTTAGAATTAAATATACCTGTATGATCATATGACCACTGTATTCAGTTAGGGTGATTGCCATTCTAGTGGCTGGTGAAGACATTTTGGAATTTTCTTGTATTGTAAAGTGTAACAGATAAGGAACTACCAAAAGTGCTTCCTATTGGAGAGTACTGCCTAAGACCAAGTCCACCGCATGGAATACTCTTTCATTTCCCTTTTTCTGATTTATCCCCACGTCTATGGTTATCATGGAGCAGCCATTGTGGACAATATGACTTTACAATGTGGTCACAGTCCATAGTTCCAGATTTGGGCACCTGTTCAAAACTGGGCCTATTCTCATCTTGTTCTAAGACTATGGATTAAAACTAAAAAATAACTTCAATGACTGTCTGATAACCAGAGCTTTAAAATATGCTGCTTTGGAGCTCCTGGTGGTCAAGTCTACTGCCATATGGACAAGAGAGACAGAAAGGCAATTGAGAGAATGTGAAAGTGAGGGTGAGTGAATGAACATCAGGAAAGATAGAAGTGAAACACGTACGTGGGGGTAGCAGTGATGAGCTATGAGAAATGGAGAGAGGGATGCTGGGATTTAGATAACTGATTTGAGCTCAGACCTTGGGTCTCATGAAAATACGAACAATTCTTCTTATTAAAAGTCTCCCTCCTCCTTTATTTGGCTCTATTGATTTTCTGTCACTTAAAATCAAAGTTGTTTTAACTCTTACCCTGATTGAGATTTTATTTTGTTTTATTATTTTTTCATTCTCACCTGAGGACTTTTTTTTCATTGTTTTTAGCAAGAGATGAAGGGAGAAAGAGAGAAAGATTGATCGGTTGCCTTCAATCCAACCAATGGAGCCACACCAGCCAAGGTACTGATCATGATTTTAAAACTGCCCAGATCCAAGGTACTGTTTCTCCTGCCCTTTCTCTTGGGGAAATTCTTATTGAGAGTCATCTTATTTTTTTGGTGAATTTCAAAAAACTTTTAAATTTCTTTGTTCTGCTGAAGCAGCATAGGAAATAAATGAAATGGATCTATAAAACATACCTTTAGAGGGACTTCCTGTCAATATCATGGCATAGGTAAACCCCACTCACCTCCTTGCACAACCACATCAAAATTACAACTAAATTATAGAACAATCATCACTCAGAACCATCACAAACTGAGTGGAATGGAAATTCAACTACAGAAGAAAGAAACCACATCCATCCTGGTAGGAGGGGTGTGGAGACGTGGAATGGGCTGGTTCCCCTTCCACATGCGGTGAGTAAAAATTTGGGAGGGATATCTTGGGAGCAAAGAGTCTCAGTCCCAAACAAGGTTTCCTGGACCAGGGTTCCAGGGCCAGAGAGCTATGTCCCCATAACTTCTGGCTGAAAGAACCAGTGTGGTTTGAGTAGGTAGAAGAAACCAATGAAGTCCCAAGCAGTTCCTTTTAAAGAACCCACACACAGACTTACTCAGATTCACTCCTTCTGAGTTCCAGCACCGGGGTAGCAGCTTGAAATACACCAGTGGCATGAAGGAAGGAACTGATGTGTTTGGCTTCAGGGTAAGAGCTGGTGTCTTTCTTCCAGAAAGAAAGGCAGGCAGAGGCCATGGTCCCTTTTTTGAACTCTCCCCCAACCGAGCCACAGAGACAGCAGGTGGGTGGCACATCTGAGACTCCATCAACCTGGCTAACACTGTTTGACTCACCCTGGAGATCCTCTAAGGCTCGATCCCACTCAACTGACAGCTGTTACAGTAGCTTTTCCATATGAATGGCTGGTCTTTCTCATGCTTCATAACTTCCTAAATCATTTCAAATAAGCAATAGCTGGCCTCAGTGAGCCCTCAGCTCCTGTACCACTCACTAAATGTCTATAGGTCCAACAATAGCAGCAGCCAACCTAGACTCACAGCTTGGCTTCACCTGGGAATCTCTAAGCCCAGCACAAGTAACAAATATGTCAGATTGCTTTATAATTTAGCACAGTGGCACAGGCAAATCACAGATGGGATCTGACCTTGAACTGCACCACCAGGAAACTGCAGGGTCTGTGTACCCAGTGGACAGCTACAGACCACATCATAGGACCGCCACCCTGCCACTGCACAGCTGATCCTCCACAGGGGGTGGAGGTTGGTGGTCAGTGGTGATAGTCAGTCCTTGCAGCTGACTGGCCTGAGTAAATCTCTCCCATTGATATGCTAACAGCAACCAAGGCTCAACTATAAGAGGAGAGTGTACTCAGCCTACATGAAGGGTACACCTTAAGTACCCATCTTGGGTGATAGGGGAGGCTATGCCACTGGATCGTACGGGACACTTACTATACTAGGCATTGCTACTAAGACAGGGAGCAACTCTACCTAACACATAGAGATAGATATACACAGGGAGGCATTCAAATGATGACACAAAGAAACATGACCCAAATGAAAGAACAGATCAAAACTCCAGAAAAAGAACTAAACAAAATGGGGATAGGCAGTCTGTCAGATGCAGAGTTCAAAACACTGGTTATAAGGATGTTCAAGGAACTTAGTGTGGACCTCAACAGCATAAAAAAGATCCAGTCAGAAACAAAGGTACACTAATTGAGATAAAGAACAATTTATAGGGAAAGAACAATAGAGTGAATGAAGCCAAGAATCCAATCAGCGATTTAGAATATAAGGAAGCAAAAGACAACCAATCAGAACAACAAGAAGAAAAAAGAATAAAAAAAAAAATGAGGATAGTGTAAGCAGAGTCTGGGACAACTTCAAGTGGTCCAGCACAGTAGAGGTGCCAGAAGGAGAGAAGAATGAGCAAGAACTTGTAAATCTATTTGAAAAAATAATGAAAGAAACATCCCCTAATTTGGTGAAGGAAATAGACACACAAGTCCAGGAAGCACAGAGAGTCCCAAACAAGATGGCTGCAAAGAGGCCCACTCCAAATCACATAATAATTAAATCACCAAAGTTTAAAGAAAAAGAGAGAATCTTACAAGCATCAAGAGAAAAGCAGTTAGTTATCTATGGGGGGGTCCCCATAATACTGTCAGCTGATTTCTCAAAAGAAACTTTGCAGGCTAGAAGGGATTGGCAAGGAATATTCAGAGTCTTGAAAAGCAGGGACCTACAGCCAAGCTTGCTCTACCCAGCAAAATTATCATTTAGAATCAAAGGGCAGATAAAGAGCTTCCCAGATAAGAAAAAACTAAAGGAGTTCATCATCACCAAACCATTATTTTATCAAATGTTAAAGGGACTTACTTTAGAAAAAGAAGATCGAAAGTATGAACAATATAATAGCAATAAATACATATGTATCAACAATTGAATCTTAAAACAAACTAAGCAAACAAGAACAGAGACAGAATCGCAGATATGGAGAGCGTTTTGATGGTTGCTGGTTGAAAGGGTGTGTGTGAAGGAATGGATGAAGAGGTGAGGAGATTAAGAAGTACAAATATGTAGTTACAGAATAGCCATGGGGATGTAAAGTTGAGTATGGGAAATGGAATAGCCAAAGAATTCTATGATGACCCATGGACATGAACAATGGTGTGGGGATTGCCTGAGGGAGGGGGGGGTGCTGGGTGGAGATGGGTAAAGAGGGAAAAATTGGGACTACTGTAATAGCATAATCAGTAAAATATAATTAAAAATGGAACAGAACTTTGGAGAGGGTATGTGACATCTGTGAAAGTTTAAATTAAAAGTGTTGACTAGGAACCTGTCCAACTATTACCTACAGAAAACTTTGTTTGCCACTTTAGCCCAGAAAATTCCCCCAGATCCCCTGAATCACACTGGAACTTCACAATGATACCTCCTGGTGAGATATTGCATTATATTCTAATGAAGTTCTTTAAGTATATTGCTTTGAGTCTAATAAACCAGACTCTTAATAGCTTCTGTTTAAAGGAGAGCACTCTGAAGCTGTGAGTATTTACAAAGTGCAAATCACCATCCTAGGCGAGCTAGAGTATGCAAAGGACCTTATAGCAAAAGCAGCTTGGGCTCAGCAATGGTATATTCTGCTTTTAATATAGAACAACTGTGTGTGCACAGACTTGTGCACCTGCCTGTGCTATGAGGCCATACCACACAAGGTACTTTATATTCATTTCTTCTTTCTTTCTCACAGTATCCTCTCTTGGCCTATTTATAGAAGAGGAAACTGGTGCTCATCCAGGTTAAAAAATGTACACGGTTGTGAGTTTGGGATTTGAGCTCAGCTCTGCATGTCTTCAAAGCCCATATTTTTTATATTATTATATACTTCCATTGCCTTATGATGTTTCCTGTGTCTGGTTAGGAAGTAAAACATATGTTCATGAAAATGTAGCCAATACAAGAAGACAGGGACCTCATGTGCAGAACCAAGGTAAGAAATGCAGAAAACCAATCTCCCAAAGGCCCAGGATACAGTGAGTCCCCCGATGGTGTGAGGTGTGGCATTATGGGTCCGTAAAGAAAGGAGTGGGCTTAGACGCTAGAGAAAATTGTGCAGAGCCCTCTTAAGGTAGTGGAAGTTGTTAGAAATGTTATAACCAGATAGTGACTCCTAGGCATTATATCAGTCTCACAGCTGATTATTGGTTTAGCCAGGGCAGGATCATTGGTCACTTTTTATGGAATCAGCAAAACCAACTGCAGGCAGATTTATTTAGTGACCTTCCTGTGTAGACTGGGAGATTAGAGCATGCTGCTGAAACCCACAGATCCCTGGTTCTTGTCTGTCAAGTAATTAGGGTCTTCACAGTGCATTAAATTTCCATTTCTTTATCTACCCTTTTTCATATTGGAGAAATTGGAGTATTTAAATAATTGCTATTTCAGTATCTTGAAGTACTTCAGACTAAAGCTCACTGCATGTTTTCACTCCTTGCTTTGCTCCTAAGAACAATGTAAAGGTTTGATTTAGTAAGAACTTAGTCAAGCCAAATACTTGGTGTTGAATAAATGGTAGATTTGCATTAAAAATAACAGAAGACAATAACAAAGGTGTGCTGTTTGATTGTAGTTCTCAATGGGCATATGTGCCACAAACTCCTCTGTGATCACTGCTCTGGGATGAACTGTTATATAGATAGTTCAAGGTGAATTTGAGCAGAGAAACTGCTTTGAATGAGATATTCTTTCCATTTGAGATTCAGAAGCCTTTAGTAGAACGTATATTTTTGATAAAATCTCTGATGCGCTAATGAGCAATGACCTAAATTTTAAGTCCTTGGAAACTGACACACATGCAATTTATTTTATGAAGTAAGGCATTGAGGCTCTGTATTAAAGGAGGTGGTAATCAACCCTTAAACCACTGGAGTAAAAGTCATAGTATAAGGTCTGAGTATTTAGCCTCTTAACTCTGAATTACAGAGTCTGGATTGCAACAGGGGTTAATTAAATGTTAGATTGTCCTCAACTCCACATGGTTTGCCACGCTCATTTGCTGATTAATTATTGGCTGCTTTGTGCCCTTGTTGTTTTCTTGTGTTCTGTGGATGCAGTATACAAGAGTGGATAATGGATGCCCATGTAGCATTCTGACTTTGACTTTTATATGCTGTGTGATTTATAAAACCTATCTAAACCCCATTTTTCTTATTTATTGTTTCCAGCTTTATTGAGATATTATTGACATATAACGTAAATGTGTTGAGGTGTACAACATGATGATTTGATGCATGTGTATATTATGAAATGATAACCACAAGTAAACTAACTCTTCCATTTCCTCACATAACTACCTTTGTGGGGAAGGGTGCGATAACATTTAACACTTAATCTCTTAATGATTTTTAAGTACATAATACAGTACTGTTAATTATAGTCACCATGCTGTACATTAGATCTCCAGAAACTTATTTCTCTTACAGCCG